CTCCTTTTCAGGATTGTTACTACAAAATATATATTATCTAGCAGGTTAAACAGACCTGTAAATCTGATGCCTGACAACTAAAGGTTTTAAAATGCTGCTTAACATTGGTTAGTGCTGTTCTCTTCATAGATATTGGATTGAAATATATTGAGAATGCAGCTTATACTACGTGGTGGAGAAATGAAATTCTGATGGGTAACTAACTGAAGGATGCTGTATTCAAATTCTTCTTGCCATGCGGTGTGCATCAACTGATGTGACTTCTTCTACCCTGTCTGTAAAACTAGGTGAATTCTTAGCAAATCAGTATATAGAAATGTATAGAAAAATATACAGAAATGAGAAGTCAACTCTGTTTGAAACTCTGAATTTATTATTATTTTTTTATCCTTAATTGCCGTAATATCACTCTAAAGGTGTACAGCAATACAATATCCCTGGTATTAGGCTGGTGGTTGTGCTGCTGTCTGTAAGGAGTTCAGATTTCCTTCAGTTTTGTTTAGAATCTAGAAGTAAGTATGTTCTGAAAAAATTTAATTTTTTTCTAAGATCTTCTGAAGCAAAGTCTGCTTGTCTGGTGACCATGTCCCATTCCTTGTGGAGATGGGATATCCTATTTTTTTGGCTGGAGAAGTTATTTCAGAGTAAGAAACCATAAAACAAGAGAGGTGATTGCTATCCGGTTTCTTCGTGGGTATGCTTTAAGTCTTTCACCTCTTTTAGCACGTACCTTGTATCTGCTCCAGATGTCTCACTGCTCTGGTATTTTATAATTAGTATCTTGAAAACTCAAGGGAAAACTTTCAAATGCTCTGTGCTTCCCATTGGGACTCTTCCACGTGGCTGTAACATTTGTTGTGAGTCCTTGGTAACATGTATCTGTTCCTCAGGAGCCCTTCATCTCGCTCTGATTCCCCTGGCGTCAGCAGAAAAACTCAGTTTTCTAGTGGAAGAGGCTTTGCTTTGTAGGGACATGGTGTGTTTTGATTCCTTTAAAATGAAGACAATTTCAGATGACTGCCTCCCCCTATGGTCCTTCTGTTTTCTCAGCTTGCTCGTGTGTTGTATCCAGAGCCAACGAGCTACAGGAAGGCTGAAGGGTTGCTTTGTATGTCTGTACAGGCAGCCCAGCATGCATGTATCTGTATAACATGTGTACTTGTATAGTATATGTTTAGGTGTGCATTTTGTGTGTGAGCAAATTGTTTCTTTGATGCACCTTTTCTTTTCAAGCTCTTTCTGCATGAGGAGTCCGTTAATTTGAAGAACGCACCCTCTGCTCTGTGTCTGGCAGCCTGGCTGCTAAGGGATGGCACGCTGTTTGCTTTGCTCATCACTAGGACCAGTTTTAGCGGTGTTTATGCTGCAAATTGACTCCTTCAGAAGTGGTATTAGTAGTTTGGGGTATTCCATCACAGTATGTTAGACTGTTTCCAGAAAACACAGATATTACACATATTCTAAATTAAGGCTATTAAGTGTCCACTGATTCAGTGACTGTGCAGATACATAGTTAATATTGTATAGTGACACATTCTAGAAATTGCTGGGTTTATTTTTGACATGGAGACGATGACTAAGAATAACTCTTTCATCTATGCATAGCTACATTTACAAGCAAGTAAAAACTTCCCCAAAATGATCTTTAGTCATATTTAGACTCTTAGTTCCATGAAAGGAAAAAAATTCAGACTTGTGCTTAAATCTGAGCAGTGTGTGCTATCAAGCCCTCTTCCTGCTCTGAGTTCATAACCCCTGCTCAGTGAGAAGTTATGTTTTGGGAGGTTTTGTTTTGTTTTATTATCTCCTCCAAATTTTTGTGGGCAATTTAAAGTGTGGGGAGGAGGGCAAGAGAAGCGCCCTTCTATGTTGGGAAAGGCAGACCCTACCACAACAGAAATTGTAATACTGCCCTAGCTTATATTTAGTTCAAGTTCTGATTATTTTTATTTTGGCATCCCAGTAACACTGATGTAACTAGGAGGAAACTTGGGTTAATTTCTTCTTACTTTTTTCCTCCTAGAGCTGTGATGGTAATACTTGGTAAGGAGGGAATAATTCTGAAGACAGCCCATGGGTTCAGAGATCCCCTGCCTGTCTGTTTTTGGACACTTTGCTACATTTTGTTAACTGATCTCCAAAAGCTTCCTGTCTGGGGCCTGACTCCTTCAGGCAGATGGTTTGTTGAATTGTGTAGAGGGAATATGTGGATTAGATATAAACTTTTGTTCTTGTCGCTGACATCTCATCTGTACTGGACTGGACAAATAAAGCCAGCAGTTTTTCCACTTGCTGCATTCAGACAAGTGGATATTACTGGTTCAGTTTTTAGAATGACTGTGCCTGCCTTCGTAAGTGTGTTGTAGAGTTTTGGATTCCTAAAAATCAGGTTATTTGTATCCGTTAGTCCACGATAAATCCTTCTCAGACGTTTTAAGCTTGCAGCTTATTGCCTGTGTAGACTGCAGTAATGACCAAGGGGTTGTTATGGTTCATACTTATGTGTAACTGCCATCGCCAAGCATCAAAATACAATTTCCAAAGCCATGTGAATTTTTGGTTGGGAATATGTGGAGATGTTTTGTAATCAACTTGAAATAGTCTGATGGTTATTCAATTGCTTATCTTAACTCTTCTGTGTATTTTGTGCTGATTTTGGTTTTGTTTTGTTTGTTTGTGTTTGGTTTTTTTTTGTTTTTTTTTGTTTTTTTTTTATATAGTGTTACTTGTGAAAGACTAAGTGGCTCAGATAACATATTTTGCAATTTTCTTACCTGAATAGGCGACTCCAGTCGGAAGGCTTTTAAATATTCCAAGATGTTTTTTTCCTAGTCTGTCATGTGCAAATCATATATGATGGAGTCCAGCAAAAAATTAGTAACAGTTTTGAAAAAAGCAAAGCAGGAGCAGAAGACGAATTTTCTCCTCTCTTTGTGAAGATTTGGGTTTGGCAAATAGTGGAATTCTTTTTTGCATGTAATCGCATGAGCGTGTATCACAATTACTGTAATCTGTGTTGTTGGCTGAGGTGAGTCCCATCTGTTAGTGGCGTTATGGATGTGCAGTACCCTTGGCCTCTACACTTGTGCACACAGGAAGCACAGAAGGATTTAGAGAAACAAATGCAGTCTCTGAAGGCAGTTGCTAAAAGCAAGGGAGAAATTCATAACGCAATGCGGTGTTCTCTGCTGTCACCTTTTCCTGATGAAAAAATCCTCTGGTTAAACATTAGCCTTAATGAACTTTACAAGATGCTGGGCAGTTTTTGGTTTCTGCTTACGCATGAGATCAGCTTTCTTTCGTACAGGATCATCTATTGTATATGCTTGTTATCAGGCTGTTTATTATGGATTTTCTTTATGCTGTGTCACCTTGTGATGATTTGGGGAATAATTTTAAGTAGCAATCTGAGCTGATTAGGAGAAAATTCAGGTCTTGTGTTGCAGGAAGTACTTGAGCTTGACTTAATGGTAGTTAAATGTGTAGTCAGTGCTGCTTTTTATGTATTTATTTATTAAAAATCTTCTTATCATCATTTCACCCCAGCTGTGGATCTGGCACAGTATATACTTGTACACTTGAATCGCCATTGCTCTTCTCCTGTTAGAGGTTGTAAAGGAGTGAGCATCCTGAGAACTTACTTCCCTAGGTCTCATTTCCATCCTAGCTGAACTGAAGGAACTGCAGATGGAATATGATATTTGGGCTTGGATAATTTATGTGAACGAGTTTTCATTCAGATCCAAACTCCTAGCCTTCTGCTCAGTATTCATTTTTTCCCTTTCACTGAGTGCTACTAATTCCTGTGGTTGCCACCTGTGCGGCCAACTCTTTCTATCAGTTCAGAAAACTGTTTAAGTAATTGCACGGCTGTAGGGACAGAAGAATATTAAAGTCTGGAATTATTTTTCAGATTTCAGAGTTTTGCTTCATAAGATGAATGCAGAATGTATGTTCTTCCCATTTCTATCTATGATTTTTTTTAAAGGTACAGCTGACACTTCTCCGTACAGTATTTGTGTTCAGAACAGTAATGTTGTTGAATGAATATCAGAAATGTGTATGTGTTTAAAGCTTGGAAACAAGCTTCATAAATATGAACTATTGGTGCATATTCAAAACTGAATTCAGTGGATATAACCAAATACCTCTTGCTGTAATTACTTTCTGAAACACTGCCCTTGCACCAAGTCAACATTAGGTGTCCTACCAAATGTGTGAAGAAGAATAAGGCTTGTATAAAGAACTAAATACATCCCAACAGCAAACCTGTTAGAACAACAGAAAGAGGGTTTCTTTTGTCTTGATGGGGGTGTATGTGAGCAGGAAGAAGGATTAGGGTGGTAGACTTTATTTCCTGGAAATGAATAGCATACATTTTTCAGCGAATAAAACGGATATTACTCAGTTTGTGACCTGTTTCCTAGTAAAAGTGTCTTAAAGTGGGGATTGGTTTAAATCTGTTGCCTGCATTCCTGACATACAGTATTGTATGATGCTATCTTGTCGCAGAGGCATGCAATGTGCCATGATGTATAAATAACACTGTGTGTCAAAGGTAATTTGAGACAATGTGCAAAATACTTAATGAAGCGCTGGGTCTTGTCCTGAGTACCTGGTACATATTTGGGAGTGGGTATCTGAGCTGAAACTGCAGCAGAGGGGTGGTGAGTAATGTAATGCTCCCCAGCACATACTGCAGAGCTACTTTGTATGGTGCAGGAAGACATAACCAGCACTACAGGTCAGCCACATCTTATTTGTAACTTTGATGCTTAGATAAGCAGACAGGAAAATTGGTTAATGTGCACTAGGCCAACCTGCTTTGTTCATGTTGTGGGGAAAAAAAAATTGCCATTAGTGTCCTCTGCGGAGTAATTTTAATGAATACTTCACATACCAATTTTCAAGATGAATATAGAATAGCATACAGAGAGGAATGGCTTTATTCTTTTGGGAGCACCACATCTCCCCTGGAGGTGGACTCAGTGGGATGCTGACCTCGGGCAGTGCAGCACATTCCGTGCTTCAGCCCAGGGCTAAGGTGCCCCGGGGCCCACGGCAGCCCTGCGAGGGACAGGCTTTGGGAGATGCGCATCAGCGGGGGCTGGCACGGGAAGGAGGAGCTGTGCCAGCTGTGCCGTGCACCTGGAGCTTGGCCGAGCGAGGTGGGTGCTGGCCTCTCGCTCAGGGGAGAGGGTTTCTGTCTGGGTTTCCTTCTCATCTGGGAAGGAAACTCCACAATGGGGAGTTTTTCTCTGTGTATTTATGCGGGAAAGGAGGTCCACAAGGTCTTTATCTTACACTTGCCTATGCAAAAATGCAAAGGGCAGGGTTATTTTCTTTCTCTCTGTTTTTCTTTTTTACTGGGGAGTTGTGATTATTTCCTGAATGCATGCATGTAGAGGGCTCCAGCAATATTTCTAATGTAATTTAATGACAAATGCAGAAGCTTCATAATATCTGAAGGCTTTCTTTATGTATGAATTTAAATATATACCACAGAACCTGTGTATAGCTATGACTTTAGGTACTACCTGACTTACTGAATGAATTGATGTTATTAGTAACTTGCATGTAGAAGCATCTTCAAGCTCAGTTGTGGAGTCAAAATATTTGTCTCCCATTTATTTTATGTTTAATATGCATTAATAGAGAACAAAAGGAATTACACGGCTATTTTGGAGCAAGGTGAGACATTTTTGTGTGTTGCTCACAATACTTTTCTCTTACAAAGATAAGTCCAAGATTCAACCCTGACAAATGACTTAAAGCTGTGTTTGACAGTTTCTTGACTCAGCTTTTTCTAACGGAGCATTTGTATGCATCCTTCAGGTGGTCAGGTAAAGCAGGTAGTTCTACAAAGTAATGTCAATATGGAACTCTTTTGCCCTTTGAGGTAAAGCTTTGTGGGTTCTTTGACAAGTAAAACATTCAACAGGACATAACTGACCCAAAACTTAATAGGATATGTGTTTGAAAGGCTATCTGGCTCATTTGAAATCTAAAGCCAGTATAACTACAAACACTGTCTTCTGGAAAATAGCTCTATAATTATTTAAGTGACTTTTAGTTCACTGATTTCTAAAATAAAGGAGTAGCATATATAGTATAGCAGGTCTGTATTTGCATACAAGATTTAATTTAGAAGTAAATATTTATGTGGGTTTTTAATGATCACGGGTTTTTTATTCTAATAGTTCTAGTGCACAAGGAGACTGTGAACCACTTCTTTTCAGTTTTATTTGCTCTATTGAAGTAAGATACAGACAAACAAAGAGTAGCAAGGCTTTCCTTGTCTGTTGTGCAGCCAGTGTGCCAACCCACATGCAAAGTTTACTGAAAATGTGTGGGAGACAGACAATTACTGATACTTCTACGAAGTAGAAAGCAAACTGACTTCATTACTTTGTCTAACTTTCCTACTAGGTATCAACAGGCCTTGTAAATTTGTGATCAGTGCTTCTGATGAGTTCATGGAAGCCTTCATTACATTTATTTTTAATGACTGTTTCTCTAATGAGGAAAATACACCTTTGTCATTCTAAGCAGCAGCTCATGTTTTAAATCCAAATTTTCCTACTTTCCTTGTGGGTTTTGTTTGTTGTCTAGTGTTTTGCTGGGATATGCCAGATGCGGGGCTGAAATTAATGTGTTTTTTAATTTTGGAGGAGGAAGTGAGGCCAAACAGTATTTTCTTCCTTTGGCTGCTGATTCCATTATAATTTTAATGATTATTCTGCATTCTTGGGGGAAGATATCTAGAAGAGAGAGAGCTTTTCTCTTTTCTACCAGGTCTGGGGAATTTAAAATGAAAACTAATTGATTGTTCTGGACCTAGTCATTAGAAACTGGTATTGACAACATAAGTATTACCTCTCACTTAAAATTAAGCAAAAAAGGCAACATTTACATTAATTATTTACCTACCTTACTGACCTGTGTTCGCATGGATAGTCTCTGTCGAGTGTATATGCAGTCACCTTTCTATTTTTAGAAATAGGATCCTAATTTCTAATATTTCTTACCTGATAAATTTTAATCATATATAGAATATTAACAGACTTTGTCCTGTGTGAGTAGTTGTTTCATATCTTGTGATGTGTTGTTTTTTTTTTCTTGTTAAGGCTTCTTAAGCTTAATTTGCAATGTTCTGTCTTTCCCTATATTTACAGACTGGTGGGAGGGGGGAGATAAGAAGAAATTGCCTTTTATTTCCAAATTGGTGGTTGAGTATTGACGTACCAGAATACATGCTTAGTCATGTGCTGTGATGCTGATGAGTTTCGCTTGGCACACCCCAGCAGATGCAGTCCCTCCCCTGTTTTCAGCAGAGCCATCTTCTCTGTGGTGCAATTTTAGATGACTGGATTTGTTTTACAGCAGTGACACAGTGTAATGATAACCTTGCCAATGCTAAGGGGAGGTGGAAACAATTCAACTTTTTGCTTGTATAGCATGTTTAAAAATTTCACTCAAGGTACTGTGACTTGAAGTGTCACTTCCAAAACGGTTGTGAACTTCTGTAAGAAAGTGTCAAAGTGGCGGAGACTCAAGGTTCTTTTTTCTTCCACCAAAACTGTATTTTAGTTGCTCATTCAGTGCTTTTGTCTTTACCTGTTTTTTTCTCCCCTCTAAGCCTATATTCTAGTTTATGTTCTTATTGCTTTTGATTAAAATTCCAGCAGTAAAATTTTCAGCTTTAAGCTGTAAGATGCACTTGTGTGCAACCTCATAGGGATCAGAAAAATAGGGTGTAGGCAAGAATGTAGAGACATCCATTTGAGAACTCCTGTGGTAATTGTGTTGGTAACTGTTGCTAATAATCTGGGTCTCCTGTCTGGGAAAGATAAGCATGTTGGATTTATTGTACTTCTTAACACATGAAATATCTGTGCCTATAAGGTTACAGCAGTCTGTCAGAGTCTGGATGGACTCCATTATGTGAAGGTAGTGCCTGAGAGTACAGTGCACTTCCTCAGCCTGCTTGGGCATTTTGTAGGTCCAGAGAAGTGGCTGTGCTGAAAGTCCTTAGTTGAGATCCTTGGTCCTGCCTGTTGGGCGTATGCCTTATACGGATTTACTAATATGACCTTTTAACCTGATGATGATTAATAGACTTCTACCAGAGCACTATGAGACATGGCTACTGTGGAGTGGCCCTGCCAGTAAAGGTCTGACATGAAGTAAAAGGAGTAATCCCGTAAATGCAGCTGCCCTGACTTCAAGAAGATGGGCTGTGAAGGGGCTGCACAAAGCTGTCAGCTTCTGCTTTTAGAAAGGAAGGGTGCTTTTCTGCCATTTAGGATATAGTTTGACCTGAAAATACCAAGGTGAACTGTTCATGTGTTGCTATATGCAGCCTGCCAAGATGCCTTGGGGAAATATGCTCTGCAAAAATTGACTCATAATTAGTTGATATGCTGGATATTAGAAATCCAATGAAGTGCTGCCTTCTGCACTTTATGCTCGTAATCTCCCTTAGACCCAATTTATATGTTCAAAGTGGTATTTAATGTTCTCATTTTATGGGCAACAACAGGAGACACAGTAGCAGCCACTTGTGTAACTCAACATCTGTAATAGACCTCTTCAAAATTTTTTTCAGTCTCCTTCTTTTATGCAACCATATGGCATCTTTTGTTGCAGTGAAAAAAAAAAAGCTAATAATTGGGAAATCCTATCATATCAGTCATAGAAAGCTAGGAATAAACTATTCTGGATATTGCTTACTTGCTGTGTTAAGGCATCTGGTAGGCAAACACTTTGTTATTAAGGCTTCTGAATTCTTCTCAGTGTGCTTGTGTTGTTGCCCCAGAGGCAGCATGCTGGTCGTGTTCACTGGCAGGACTGGTGGTCAGCAGTGGGCAGAGGTAGAAAAGCCCCAGCTATATGCAGTGGGGTGAGGAGGATTTGAATTGTGGAGCACAGGTAAACTGTCATATGAAATACAACAAAAGAGTTTTTCATGGAAGGCCTCACATCATTAATGGCAGCAGGAGCCCTGGGATGTGTGCTGACAAGACAAATCACTGTAGTACACCCTTGGATGTGCGCATGTGTGATTCTAAATGTGGCAGTCCAAGGTAGCAGGTTAATCTGGCTAGAAAGGAGCCCATTTTCCCTAGATGCTGGCAGTGGTATGTCTGATGAACCTTGTTTGAAAGGAATTCTGTGAAGTTGGTAGCATCAAAGAAGTCGTCGTGCTCAGTCTATCTTTGATAGGAACACGAGGTCTGACAGCCGTCTCATCCTGCCTAGCTGCACCAGGCACCAGAAGCACCACCAAAGACACTGATGTTCAAAGCCTTTTCTATGTTGATCTGTGCTACACACAGGGGAGGTTCTGGAGTAATTGAATTCAATGTATTTCATAATGATCTACACTTGGCAGGAGTGGGGGCAGGGGTAAAACCACTCATGTTTTACATTAGAAAGGGAATGATTTGGTGATGCTTGCAGTCACTTTCCACCTCATAAGGATTTCTGACTGAGAAATGCATTATGGAAATATCTTGACTGGCTTCTTTTCATGCTGATGTGTCTTTCATTTTTTTTTATTTTTTTTTTCCTTTGGCTACTGGTTTTCTTTTAAGTAGTATCTGGCTGTAGTGTGACTTGCATGCAAAAAGAAGCACTGTTCCTTGAAAATTTTGCTTCCAGAGGTGGTATAAATACCCTTTAAACTTGCTTCATACTTCTTCCTCTCCAGATTATTTCATTTTATTTCCTTTGAGGTTTAGATTGTATGTTGACTCACACCACCACCCCCCCTCCTCTTCCTTCCCCAGGGGGTGAGCTCATACTGTGAAAATTGTATTCATTTGGACCTGGTATGCCAACTGTCCAAAACTTCTGGTGTATGATTTTTTTTAATCTTTTTTTTTTTTTTCTTCTCTCTCCATGCAGTAATGTAACAATACCTGAAACTCCATTGTGATCACATGCCTGTAGGTGCAGCATGTACTGAAGAACCTGTTTTTAACTTTAGTTTAAAACTGAAAGGGGAAATACTGCAATTTTATATGCATCATCATTCAGCTTTTACTTCAGAAAATCTCTTTGCTTTCCTTTGCTTGATGCAGTGTATCATTTGCTCATTCTCTTTGGTAATCCACGTAGCAGTTCCAAGCAACTGTCTGGGGAAGAAAAAATAAAAATATTAATG